ATTTTGATTAGCATAATTTTGAATAGCCTAAGCTAATATTTTTTTAATAAAATTTTACTACAACAACTGAAACTTAAATTTGTGGCCCCCAGATGGATTTGCCCCTCAAATCTTTTTTAAGCTATATTTATATATCGTCTCCTTGCTTGTCTCAAAATGTGTGTGTGTGTGTGTGTGTGTGTGTGTGTGTGTTTAACCAAGTAGTCCACATGCATATACTGAGAAAATCTTCAGAAAAGAACATCCTGATTTGCAGAGATTTTCTTCCAGTATCTGGCTTGACTTTTCATTCTCTTAACAGTGTCAATCATTCAAAGAGTAGAAGTTCTTAATTTGGGTAAAGTTCAACTTATCACATTTTCTTTTGTAAGTCATGCTTTTGTTGTTTTGTAAGAAATCATTATATAACCCAAGGTCAAAGATTTTTTTCCTTTATTCAAGAAGTTTTATAGTTCTGTGCTTTAAATCTAGGTCTATAACTGACCTACTAGGAGTTTATTTTTATATATAGTGTGAGGAAAAGATCAAAGTTGGTATTTTTTCTTTTACTTTTTACGTATAAATATTCATTTTTTTCTAGTTCTGTTTGTTGAAAGGAAAAACTTTCTTTCAAGCTCAGAAAATTTTTTTCTAGTTTCTTCAGATATTTTTTGACCCCTCTATTTCTCCTTTTTCTTTCCATTTACATAGCAGGCTCCTTGAAGTTCTCTCATAATTCACTAATGTGCTAATTCATCGGGTCTTTTTTCCTCCATATTTTCCATATTGGATAGTTTCTATTGCTGTATCTTTGGTTTACTATTTTTTTTTCTTCTGCATTTGCTATTAATCACAACTGATTTTTTTTTAATCATAGAAAAATTAGTTTTTATTTCTTTAGGTTCAAATTGTATGTGTGTGTGTGTGTGTGTGTGTGTGTGTGTGTATCATGTGTACACTTAACATGCCCACTCTTGAACATCTGAACACAAAATGTAAAATTAAAATAATGATCATACTGGCCTCGTCTATTGGTTCTATTATTTTCATCTTTTCTGGGCTACTCTTAATTGGCTTTTCTCCTCCTTCTAGGTTATATTTTCCTGATCATTTTCAGTTGGCTATCAGGCATCATGAATTTTAGTTTGTTGGGTGGTGGATATTTTTGTATTAGGAATATTTTTAAGTTTTGTTCTTTGATTCAGTTACATGGAAGTACTCTGATCCTTTGAAATCTTGCTTCTTAAGCTTTAATAGATGCAACCAGAGCAGGGGAAGTCTAGGGCATTGCCCTTCTGAGTACTCTACCTAGTGTCTCATGAATCATGAGATTCTTTTTTCCCCACCAACCTGGTGAGAATGGACACTATTCTTGACCTTATATGACCTCCTGATATTTGACATTTTCAAGTGCCCCATCAGTAAGGAAGGAGCAGCTGGGTACTTTCCTTATATGCATGCACTAAACAGGGGACAGCTAAAAACTGGAGGGAGTCCCTGTGATTCTTAAGTCCTCCCTCTCTGTAGCTTTCCTCACTGATACTCTTTTCAGTACTCTGTTGCCTTCTCAATCTTCCTGATCTCCCAGCTCATCTCCTCAACTTGGAGATCACCGGACTCCAGCAGTAGTCTTCTCGCCTGAGTTGCATCCGGGGACCTTTCCCTGTGCAATTAACTGGGGCATATGTGCAGTTCATGATTTTTGTTTGAAGACATCTTGTAGAGATCACTGTCTTTCTTGCCTGATCTCTGATGTCTTGAGAAACATTGTTTCATATATTCTATCCAGTTTGCTAGATGTTTCAGAAAATTTAAATTTTTGATTAAGTGGTTCAGAAATCAAAAAAATCTAAGTAGGTAATCAGTTGTCTCCCTGTGAATCCTTTCTGCTATCAGTCTAATACCTATCATCCCAATAAGAAACTGTGCTGTTAGTTTTATCTTTCTGTAGTTTCTTTATTCATATGCAAGTAAATAAAAATTATATACTCTTACTCCCCTTCCACTTCCTTTTTCATGAAAGGTTTTCATGATATGCATGCTATTTTGAATCTTCTCTCTCTTTTATTTTCACTTAAGCATGCATCTTAGATCTTTCCTCTTCATACCTAAACTGCCTCCCCTCACCACCCTCTTTCACTCACAAATGCTTTTTTTTTTTTTAACTGCTACAATAGTGTTATGTAACATAGGCTTATCATCAGTTGTTTAACCAATTCCCTATTGTTAAATAGTTAGGTTGCTTCTAATCTTTTGCTGTTTGGAATAACTTAGTAGTAGTCTTGTACATAAATCATTTTGCATGTATCTGATTAATAGAACTATTGAATCCATTCTCAGAAGTAGATTACTAGGTCAGAAGGTTTATGCATTTGTAATTTTCATAGTTTTTCCCAAATTGTCCTCCCAAGGGGTTGAACCATCTTCCACAAGTCTATTAGGGATATGGACTAATAGGTGTTTTTCCTATCTATAGAATATATCAAACATTTGGATTTATACTAGTAAAATAGGAATAAAATGTTGCAGTTTCAATTTGTTTTCTGAGGTTGATCATCTGTGTTTAAAAGTGAAAGGAAAGTAATTTTACTCTTATAATTTTTGTTCATTCAGTTCTTATTTGTAAAAAAATAAGAATGTGAAATTGAAATGCTTTAGTTGATGGTGTTTAGTAACTTATTTATAAAGAACAGTTAGGGGCCGGGGTTGTGGCTCAGTCAGTGGGCAGAGCGCTTGCCTAGCATGCATGAGGCACTGAGTTTGATCCCCGGCACCACATAAAAATAGGAAAATAAAATAAAGGTATCGTGTCCAACTACAACTAAAAAATAAATAAATATTTTTTAAAAAAGAACAGTTAACATTCATACATAGCCTACTAGTGAAACACTTCAAGATTCAATTAATAAATAATTACATTAAATATAGTAAATTCTCCAATGATTTTAAAGTTATTATAGAATATCTATATCAAAGCTGGATTAATTGATTTTTCAGGCAGATTTTACCTAAGTAAAACTAGGTTTAATCTGAATTTGAGCATAAGGGAATGATCCAAAATTAGTTGGATAGATGAAAACATAATTGTTCCTTCTAGAAATTTTTATATTTGAGAAATGTAATTTGTTTTCCACAAATAATTGTATTTCCAGAATAATTTTAAGGAAAGTAGGGGAATGCATATTTGAAATTTGGATTAAATTTGTAACTTTATGGTTACAAAATATGTTCCCACACATAAGAAGGACAAACATGGTTAGATAATAGGACATGGTTCTTCATCAAGCTCCCCTTTTATTAGAAATGAGGAATATGCAGGTATTTTATAACTATGTATACCATTTCCTTTTCTCTGCCTCATCTTAAGTACCTCTAATTTCTTGCTTCTATCATTTATAATTTGTGGGCAATTAATTAGAGAGGTAGTTTCTTTACCAAGTGAAACAATAAAATGGCCCAGAAGTTATTTATACTTTATTGATTTATTATAAATTAAAAGCTGGCTTTATTTATGCAATTAAAAATATATTTTTAGAGTTACATCAACATGGAGAGGCATCCAGCACACATGCGTCAGGTATGAAGTCATTCCAGAGCATTCTCTGGTATTCCCTTTTTCTTCCTTATCAGTCAACTAAATTTACCTTGATTAAACTTACTTGTTTGGTTTTTTCCCCCACTTTCAAAACATAGAGCTGCATGCCATTGTCAAGTTATCCAGCTGACACATTTTAGCAATTTTAATATGTTTGTATGCTTGCTTTTTAGATACTTGTAAAATTGTATATCAGGCCAAAAAAAAATTGGCTAACTGATTTTTTAGCATTAGTTTTTAGCTTTTTCAAGTTGTTGAAAATGTTCTCAATGCTTTCTATCAAAATCATCTAATTTTAAATAACTAAATTTTGTCATATGTCCCCAAACTTAGTTATTTTAAAATTATTTTAGTATGCATCTATCATATTAATTTTTACCACACTAAAAATATATGCACTTGTACTATTTGAATCTCTTATTTGGTTATAGTTATGGAAGTATAATAAACAAAATAGAAAAATAATATTGTTATTTTGACTAATTGTGTGCTTTCCTGCTTACTAAAGTATACCTGCTGATTAATACTGAGGCTATTCTTTAGAAGATAAAATTTGAATTTCTGTAAATATGTGTGAAAAAAGTCTGTTTTTAAAAAGCAGTTGTCTGAACTTTCAAATGTTGAAAATGCTTAAATTAATTAGAATTCAAATTAAAGTGAACAAGCAAAATATCCCAGATAACTGACATACTTTTGTTAATAAAGCAAATTTAAAAGAAACATGTATATGTAAATGAATTTAAATTGGAAAATAGTTAAAAGGCTTTTTCATATTTGTCTTACAATTAATTTAGTGCTGATCATTTAAATATAAGTGATCATATAAATCAGAGCAAGTTAATTTTTGAAAACTATTTTTCATATTAGTTTTGGCCAGTATAAATGTGTTTGATTAAAAAAAATTACTAGGGATGAAAGTAGATTTTTTAAAATTTTCTTTAAGATTACCAAATGTATTTCAGGTCTAACTTCACCACAAACTTTTATATTTTAATTTTTGTGTCAGGATCCCTTTACAAAGTCAGTCCTAATATATCTGAAATATATGCCTTCAATCAACTGCATACTTTATTTCAGGATATTAATTGAAAAGTAACATTAAAAATTATGCAGCATTGGTTGAAAAATCAAATAAAAAGATTGGGGGAATGTAGGAAAATGTGGAATGGAATAATTGTCAAACTTTGCTGATTTAAGATTAATTAAAATACAATTTTAATATAGTACTAATGTTTACTGTTTTTTTCTGATGCCAAATTATGTTAATATCTAATAACTTGATTTTTACTTGTGAGAGACAAATTCCTTATTTGAAGTATTAAGTACATGTCACTTACAATTAAATCTCAGAGCTTTGAAAGGGAATTCAAAAATCCAGTGGCAAATAACTCATTTATGGTATTTTTCATTGTTATGTGTGTTTTAGGTATTTGTAAAGTGTCATTTTGATTATAACCCATACAATGATAACCTGATACCCTGCAAAGAAGCAGGATTGAAGTTTTCCAAAGGAGAAATTCTTCAGATTGTAAATAGAGAAGATCCAAACTGGTGGCAGGTTAGTATGCTTCTCAAATGTTCTTCAACTGCTTTTCTATTTTTAGTCTTAGATCTGGCCATTATCTGAATATTCAGGAGGAAGGTATTACCATTCCTTCCCTTATTTTTCCCACATGAACAGCTTCTGCCTCCTGGCTACTAATTTTGTGGAAAAAAAGAGCAAATTGCAAGAGAATTTGTGAGTAGCTATTAATCAATTCAGAATTCACCCACCTATGGTACAGTTCCATTGGTTTAGGGATTCGAGTAATTGGTTCTTTCACATGGGTGATTGCATTAAACTATGCTATGAGCAGGAAGAACTCACTTGGGGTCAACCCTTTTGTATAGTCTTGTCTTCTCCCTTTCTGTTTATGTTCATGGCAAGTAAAGCATAATTTCTTAAGGTCTTAAATCTATTTGTCACCTCTTCTCAGTTATTGAGAAATGAAGGTTTGCTATATTAGTTTTGTTTATGTCTTGGATTAAAATCTGTGAATAAAAAAAGAAATGTGTGTCATCACTATATTTTTCCCTTTCCCCATCTTCCATAAGATATATATGGTGATGTTATTTTTCCTTTCCTCTAATACTGCTTTCAGAAAGTTTTAGAAACAGTAATGAGTGTTTTTGTAATTGTATCAGCAAACAATTGCAGTCAAAATTGGAAAAACTGACAAATCAGAAAGTCTGGAAGCTTTTTAACTGTCATGCCAAATGACTGTCTCATTAAAGAATATAGTATAAGAGGAAAGAACGTAGGACCAAATTAAAATGAACTGAAATACTGGTAACTTACGTTAACTCTAAAACCATTTCCAGATAAGAATAGTCTTACTAATGTGTCCTATATTTAAATTGAGATTTGATTATGTATAAGTGTACTGTGTGTTGAGAGAACCAAGAGATGGATAAAATTAAACAGAATCCATGATTTCTAGAGGTTTTCACTGAATGTCTTAAAATACTTATTTTTAAAATTTGCTTTCTTTTGGCTATGTCTTTTATTTTTCCATGTTTTTTTTTCTATGAATGTCATCATTTAGCTTTCTCTTCTAATACAGTCACCATTTTCTCAATCTTTTCCTGCATTTTGATAGTCTATTACTTTAATTTCCAGGGTTGCTAAAAATGATTTCAGGTTTTCTTTGCCAGTTGTAAGGATAAAGACAGTAACTGTGAAATAAGCAATATAGCCAAATCTTAGACTATTACTTAAAAATATCTTTTATTTTTATTTCAAGTGTTTTGAAATTAGATGAAGTTTTACCTATTTTAAATTTACTACCTCTCAGAATATTCAAATTCCTGTATATTGTCTTCATTGACTTGGTCTCAGGAAATAACAGTATAGCAGGATTATGATTAATAGTACATGTCTTACTAAAGGGTGCTGGATGAAATGTTCTCTTAACACATCTTACTATAATTGCCTTTTAGGATTTTTAGGTTTTTGTTTCTTTTGATGCTAGGGATGAAACCCAGGGCTTTGTGCATGCTGAACATATGCTCTACCACTGAGCTATACCCATAGTCCCTCATTCTGTATTATAGAACAGTATTTCTTTCCCTTCTTTGACTAATTTAATATTATGAACAAAAAGTGTTAATAATTGTAGAAGCCTGTATATCTTTGTATTTTGGTCTTAAAATTTCATCACCAAATAACATATATAAAGAATTTTAGGTACCAATCAATTCCTCAATGCTAATTAACCCAGTACCATGGATTTAAATCTAAAGGTTATTTTTTTTAAGTGACATTATTTTTACTGACCACTGCTTATCCTACTTACTAGAATATGGTCTCAAATTTTGGTCACTGAGGTATACAATTCATTAATTTGATTCTAGGCTAGCCATGTGAAAGAGGGAGGAAGCGCTGGTCTCATTCCAAGCCAATTCCTGGAAGAGAAGAGAAAGGCATTTGTTAGAAGAGACTGGGACAATTCAGGTGATGAGCTCGAAACAATAAGTACAAACAGCCCTTTGTTCTCACCTTTCTTTGCCTCTTTTGTCTAAATAAGCAATGGCTTTATTTAAGTATATCTAGAATTAATTCCTCCCATCTGCTTTATTTTCTCTCAAAATTAATCTTTTTGATCCCTTTCTGCCACCTACTGGTAGAGTATCAAAATTCAGTGGCTTAACTCACCCTTGCCCCCTTGAGCTTCCTAGGATGGGACATTAAGAAGATGATTGTCCCACTCTCATAAAATATCACAGTGCAGTTTTATCATATTCTGACATATTGTTTGCATTATATTGATCTTGTCATCCTTCCAGGACCTTTTTGTGGAACTATAAGTAGCAAAAAAAAGAAAAAAATGATGTATCTCACAACCAGAAATGCAGGTAGGTTTTAAATACTTTTCTTTTTAAGTCTAAAATAACTTATATCATTAATTACAGAATAAGCTCTGAATATGTACTTTAAAGTGAATGTAATTTAGACTACTACCCACTTGCAAGGGTCTGGCTTGTGAACACATGGTACAATATAACAAAGGTTTTTTAAGCCCTTACTGTATATACTAACTGATTTTTGTGAGTATAGTTTAAAAACCAAATGAATTGGTTAGCATATATGCAGGTATTAACCAATGGCAATGTTACAATTATTGAAACCATTTATTCAGAGAATTTTTAAATTGTAATTTATGTGCTATTTCTAAAGGGCAGAATGCTTTTTGTGAAGATATTAAAAGAGTTATGATTAAGGACAACTATATTCTGCCATAACATTGTCCTTAAGACTTCTGGAAAAATAGCACTGGACCAAGCAAATCTTAGCTTAATTAGGTAGAATTCTTTCTTAAATCTTTTAGTCTCAAAGAAAGAAGTATCTTTAACAGGAAAGAAAATGATAACCATGTGAGGTGATAGATACATTAATTAGCTAGGGGTACATGATCATCATTAATGAATTAGGATCATTTATGTGTCTCTACATCCAAACATCAAATTGTAGAGTTTAAAATTACTGTCAGGTGTACCTCAACAAAGCATAAAGTTATTTTTTTATAAATAAGATCTCAGACCTGTATCAGGTACACCTTGCCTGTCTGAAAAAGAAAAAGAAGAAAGATAAATAATGGAAACTACATTATTTAGAGTACTTTCTTGCCAGACATGGTGGTACAATCCTGTAATCCCTGCTACTCAAGGAGACTGAAGCAGAAGTATCACAAGTTCATGATGGCGTGGGCAATTAGCAAGACCTTGTCTCAATAAAAAACAGGGCCTGGGATGTAGTTCAGTGGTAGAGCACTTTCCTAACATATGAAAAGCACTGGGTTTGATCCTTAGCACCACAAAAATAAATAAATGACGTATTTTCTTAACTTCAGTCCTACCCCTATACTGGTAGTAAATTAAAGTGTATACAATCAAAGAAATACTATAGGAAGAAGTAAGCTTTTTCTGTCCTAGTACTGGTGAAATCTACTTTGGAGAAATTGTATAAGGAAAGGTTGTTGAGATAATAACTTAAGTGTTATTACCATAGATTGGGAATTTTAGCAATAATGGTTCTATCAATAATGACAGGTAATATAATCGTTCAAATTCACTTTGACCTTAGTATTCATTAAATATGTGCCCCTAAAGCGTTTTTGAAAAATAGAAAATTTGTCTTTTTCCTGTTGACTAAGATGATGATTGGGATATATTAACTGAAAATAGTTTAGATCTAACATTTTATTATATACATAAATTTGAGGATCTTAATATTTAAATACCAGCATGTTGTTTATATGCATTTGGTATAGTATTTATTAATTTACTTCATTGGAAGGACGTACTTTGCACTCCTGTCCTCCATACTCAATATACCCTTTTTAGTGTAAATTTTACTGATCTATAATTTGCTTACTTGCACTAAAGAGTTGTTTCTACTGACAAATTGATTATAAAGAAACTTTAATGGATAAATATTTGATAAATAAGTATGATAAAATTTTAAGAGCACATGCTTGGAAACAGATGTTTAAGTCAATATATAAAATAATTTATTGTACTTTACCAATTTTTTTTTTAAAATCTGTGCTAAACAGGTTAACAATCAAGACAACAAAACCATCATTGGAAAGTATAGTAAATGATTTCTCATGTATAGGAAAGATAAGTAAATATAATGTTTTTCCATTTCCTTTTACATTTAGAATTTGATCGTCATGAAATTCAGATATACGAGGAAGTAGCTAAAATGCCTCCCTTCCAGAGAAAAACGCTAGTATTAATAGGAGCTCAAGGTGTGGGCCGAAGAAGTTTGAAAAACAGGTTCATAGTACTGAATCCCACTAGGTTTGGAACTACAGTGCCATGTAAGTTTTCTGTGTTTTCTTTGCTATTTATTTGTAGAAGACAATATGAATACATGGATCTGGGGGGAATTATTAATTATTGTTACTTCCAAATAAATTTTGATTATGCCAGTGAAAATAAACTGGTAGATGATACTTAAAAGCTTAGCAGTTCTTAAAATCATACTGTAGCAATTGACTTGCTGCTTGGTGGCAATTGTCTCTCCAAACTGTTCTGTTCAGAAAAGTTAGAGTTAAATGCAAGTGTTTACCGATTGAAGCAAAATTACATTAACTCAGTATTATACAACTGATATCTATCTGAAAAATTATATTTTTCAGCCACTGCAGTGTAAAGAAAAGGGGGAAGAGTCTTCCGGATTCTCAGGCACACTCAGGGTGGCAATAGCTTTTTGAATTTATGTGGTCTGTCTTATAGCTCTCAGTCCTGCAAGTTCATGGACCTGATTTCTGATAGCATATCAAAAGCAATTCACCCTTCATAGCAGCCAGCATTCATTAATAACACAAAGATTAATATATAAAATAAAATAATACTGGTGAGAATAATAACCATTAGGTGAATCACTCGCTCACTTTGTGATCTTTGTAATTTTCCCTCTTTTTGCATTGTATATTGACTTGGAAAGGAAAATAATGAGGTTTGAAGTAAACTTGGTGAGACTGGAATTAGATCTTAGAGTTGGATGATATCACTGACATTGTTATTATGACTATACGTTTCTTTCTGTTTCAGAGATGTTGTGGGAGCTTGTGAACTCTCTTCCCTGAAAAAGCAGGAGACAGGCCTGTGTTGCCTTTCTAACTGCTCTTTCTGTGCTGACTTTTTAACACAGTATTCTTTTTTTTTTTGTACTGGGAATTGAACCCAGCGGTGCTCAACCACTGAGCCATATCCCTAGCTCCCTGGTTTTTTTTTTTTTTTTTTTTTTTTAAGTTGTAGATGGGTATAATACTTCTTTAAAATTATTTTTTTTAACAAATGACAGTGGAATATATTACAATTCTTGTTACATATATAGAGCACAATTTTCCATATCTCTGGTTGAATATAAAGTATATTTATGTGGTGCCAAGAATCAAACCCAGTGCCCCATGCATTCAAGATAAGCACTCTGCCACTGAGCCACAACCCCAGCCCTTAATACAGTATGCCTTTAGGTATATTAATGCCTTCAGGCCATTTTGAGTAGAATCTTAGTCTAAGATCACCACATATCTTTTAAATGAATTTTGGTTTCTCTGGTTTTATCCAGTATACTTTGAGATTTAATTCTCAGTGAATATTCTTATTGCTAAAATTTTTAGGAGGAAAAGGAGTAACCTTGTCATTGCCCTCATGTGCCACTGACAATCCCTTCAAGATAAAATACTTTGGATTCCATTATAGGCTGTGTAAACCACAAAATAAAGACAAATCCTAGTTAAGTGGTTAACAAAATAAAATCTTCATTGTATCCAAAGTATTTTAAAACTGCAATTGTGGAATAAAGCTTATTCTTATCAAATTAATATGTGCATTATATATTAAACAAATAGTGCTTAAAGGCATACGATGGGAAAAAGAACCCCATATTCCCTTACCCTGCCCATTTCTGGCCTACTTAACACATACATTCACTTTCCATCATTATTTTTGTTATTATTGCTAATTCTTGTGGTAGTTTTCCAAATTTCTTAGTAATATCTTTATTCTGCTATTTCCTACTTATCCGGTTTAGACTTTATCTACCGACTCCCTGATTACCCTTCTGATATAAAGATAGCTCTATTTTCAGTTCAGTTTTACTTTGTTAAACAGTTTCTCTCCCTCCCACTATCCAGCAATTGCTTGAATTCTTTTTTTTTCTACTCTTTTCCCCAGTTTATGTGCATGTATATTATGAGTTGTTGTTGTTTGAATGAAACTTATCCAATAATTTTTTTTTTCCTTAAGACCTGACTCTGTCTGCACTGAGGACTGTGTGTTCTCTATTCCAGCTGCCCCACTGTTCACAAGTGGGTATTTTCCTATGTTGTTGTCCTAAGTTGAAGCTACTGCTCATGGATGCCTTTCTTTTTCTTACTTGGTTTTGCTTGACCTTATTTTGCTGGGCCATATCCTCTTGTAACTTCACAAGAAATGTTGTTTAAATTGTAATTTCTTCATCTTTGTATTTTAAGATATGTTTTCTGTCCTCTATTTGATTATTTAGCTGAAAGTTCTGGATTTTAAAAATCAAAAGATGTTACTCTTGAATCCAGTTCTATTGAAAAGTTCAATACCATTCTAATTCTTATTCTTCCCATACATTACCTGGTTTTTCTTTCACTGATATTTGTATTTGTTTTAATTTATTGTTTCTTAAAGAATTCAAAAATTTAGTGATGGTGTGCCTGGGTGTACATCTTCAGTCTCTCCCTTTTTGAATCTATTGTTCATCCTTTTACCTTTTTATTCTTTTAAAGATTACTGTGATTACTTTTTCTTTTGTCAGTTGATTATCATAGTTGTATTTTTCATCTTATGATTATTTTTTTTTTTAGGGAGTAGTCCTGCCCCAACCCAGTACTATTTTTTTTCTTCATTCCTTTTCCCCCCCTTCTATCTCTTCTGTATCTTTAAGAATACCAAATAGATTAATTATTTTAAGATACTTTTATGGGCTAAATTAACTCTGTTTCCTCTGGGTTACTACTTCTGTTTATGGTATATCTGTGTTTTTCCTTTTATGTTAAAAGACTTTTTTTCCTTCATGTACTGATCCTTGTTTGTAAGTCCAGACTTCAAAGTGAAGTGTGAAAAGTGACTGGAAGCTCTGTGTACAGAGCAAGTCTTGACAACTGGCCAAGCGTTATTTTAGGGGATAGGCAAGGAGTCAGCTCTTTTATTGGAGAAGCCCATAATGTTGGTACAAGATGTTTTTTCTTTGGAGTATTGAATTTCCCTAGAGAAGAATCTGCATATTATCTATCTGTGAGAATAATCTCTAACTGATAAAGTTGGGGAGGGGGTTAGATATAGATCAACTCACTGCATATGCTTTAATAAACCCCCTCAATTTTTAGTTTCTTGCCTTTAAGTTCCAAGTCTCTTCAAGTTCTTTTGTTCCATTCTTATCCTTAATTCCCTTTCTTATCCTTAACTCCCTTTCCAGCACCATAGTTTGTGCCCTTGCAAAATCAGTTAACTGAGGTTAGTTTGAATGTGGTTTGATTTATGGTGTTCTGAGATTTACTTTTTTGCTTGTATTGGTTTCATTTTAGTTTCAAGGTTTATTTCCTTTAAAATTTTTTTTATCTTTTTAAGATTGTAAAAATCTTGCCTGTTGCAGTTCTTTGCCTTGCATGTCCAAGCATTGTCTCTTCAACATGGCCTATCTACAGAGTCTTTGGAGAGTGCCATATTATGCATTTTCCTTGCAAAGGTATTATAGTCTTCAACTGTCCCTTGCAGTGTTGCCCCAAGTTTGTATGCCGTGCCTCCCGCAGTCAGCCCTTGATTGTTTCCAGGACACCCTTTTCCCTCCCTACCTCCCAATTCCAGGCACATACCAAAATCCACTCATGCTCAAGTCCCTTATCTAAAAGGGCATAGTATTTGCATATAACCTATTATATCCTTCTGAATACTTGAAATTCTCTTATAACTTAGATACAATGAAAATGCTACATAAATAGTTGTCATATTATTATTGTTTAAGGACTAATGACAAGAAAAAAGAAAGTCTGTACATGATCAATACAGATGGAGTTCGGTGTGGGGTTTTTTGTTTGTTTGTTTCCCCACCCAGGGCTGGTTGAATCTGCAGGTATAAAACTGGTGGGTACAGAGGGTTGGCTGTATTATTTTTTCTTTTCCTTACCCTTTCTGTGCAGAGTACCTTCAGAACAGTTCAAGCATGATATCTTTTGGATGTGTATACACAGACATTAGCCTAGAGGAAAATCATTCTTACTTTTCGAGACAGTGGGAGTATAGGACTCCCACTACTACAACATGTCATCAAAGGCTTTTAGAATTCTCCTGGGAGGATAATTTTGCTATGGGAAGAAGAAAAGAAACAACAACACATTCCCCTCTAACTGGAATGGCTACATTAAACACCTCAAGCTTGTAATTCATGCCTTTTTGCTCTTGTCAGTTCCTGTTATCTCCCAGACTTTTGAATTCAAGCTATGACTTCCCAAAGGCCTTCACTAACCATGCAACTTAAAGTAGTATCTCTCATACCTGGTGGTTGTATAATAATACTTACATTCTTGTTATTTTATTACCTGTCTCCATGTTAAAAAATATTTCCCATGAGAACAGAGTCTTTTGGACTTCTTTTTACCTGGTATAAAGATCAAGATCTGGTACATAGTATATACCCAATAAATATTTCATGCATGAATAAATGAACATTATGTAAACTTTTTCTCAGGAGTCACTAAAACATCTATGTGAAGATTAATTCTACAACTCAGCAATATAACCCAATTCAGAAATGGGCAGAGGAATTCAATAGACTTTTTTGCAAAAGATATTAAAATGAATAGTGAACATATGAAAAGATGTTCAATGCCATTAATCATTAGGGACATGCAAATCGAAACCACAATGATGTACCACTTCATACCCATATATTTAATAATAGCCAGTGTTGATGAAGATAGAGAGATAAAGGAAACCTTGTGCATTACTGGTAGATATGTAAAAATCATATACCCATGTGGAAAACAATATAGCAATTCCTTTAAAAAGTAAGCATATAATTACCGTATGATTCAGCTACTCCCAAAGAACTGAAATATGAATCTGCAATATATATTTGTATGCTAGTGTTCATAGCAGTAGTATGTACAATAGTTAAACAAAAAAATCCAAATATCCTTTTATGGATAAGTGAATAAACAAAATGTCATGTAAATATACAATAGAATATTCTTCAGCTTGAATGATAAAGGATTAAAATTCTGATACTTGGTAATATATGAATTAACCTTGAAAATGTGCTGAGTGAAGTAAGCCAGGTACAAAAGGATAGATACTGTATGATTCCAGTTATAAATGAAGTACCTAGAATATGTCAAATAGAGACAGAAAGGGAAGTAGTGATTATTAGCTGCCCAGGGAGGTTATCACAGAGATTTTATTAGCTCTGGAGATGAATAGTGATGGTGGTTACACAACAAGATAGATGTGCTAATATCAACCACTGAATTGTGCACCTAAAGTGTTAAACTATGGCTATTTTTGTATATTTTACACCATAAGGAATCTAAATAATTTTTTGTTGTAATAGTGTTTTAATATTCCAGCATCTAATTGCTACTTTTTTTAAACCATTCTATTTCATATGGATTTGGTAGGGGGTGGAGGCATTTTTGTTACAAATAAGGTAATGATAAAGTATAAACATGTAAATCTCAAATGTAAAATTCACAGATCAAGGAGTATATATATATATATATATATATATATATATATATATATATAAATGTTTCATCTTGATTTCCTAGTGCCGAATTAATTTCCGAGAAAGATGTACTATTACCTTTGGATAATCCTTTGAGTTAAGATTCAAATCTAAATTTTTATACAGAAAGTTTATGTATATCCATACATATGTCAGTTCACTTTTTTACATAATGTAGGTTTGTTTTACTCTTCTTTTTTTTTTTTTAATTTTTTATTGTTGGCTGTTCAAAACATTACATAGTTCTTGATATATCATATTTCATTCATCTTGCTTTTCTAAAGCTTCAGAATAAACACTGAAAAGAAACACTGAGGGACTCCCAGCTCCAGGGCCCCTTCTCTTTGGAGAAGTCTATTACCATCACTTTTGCATTAAATCTGTTGTTTCTTTAAAAAAAATGAAAAGAAAAGAAAGAATGAAAACTGTGACAATATGATGTTTTGATACATGCATACATTGTGGGATGATCACATCAGGGTAATTAACATATCCAGCAAATATTTATAATTTCCTTGTGGTCAGACTTTTTTTTCTTTCTTTTTCTTTTTTTTTTTTTCATTGCTGGGGATCAAGCACTCTACCACTGAGCTACAGCCCCAGTCCTGTTCAAAGTATTTAAAATCTTTTTTGTAGCTATTTTGAAATAAACAGTACATTATTAAGTGTGGTCATCTTTCTGTGCAGTGGAACACTAGAACTTGTTTCTCCTAACTATAACTTTATACCTGTTAATCAAATGTTACCTTTGTCCCTACCCCAGCCTCTGGTAACCACTACTCTCTTCTCTACTTTTGTGAGTTAGACAGTTTTAGCTTCCAAATATGTCAGCTTATACAGTATTTTTCTCTCCATGGCTGGCTTATTTCACTTACCATAACATCCTCTGGGTTCATCTGTATTATTATAACTGACAGAATTTCCTGGGGGTTTTTTTTCAGGCCAAATAATATTCCATTGTATTTTTGTACTATATTTTTTACCCAGTTGTCCATTGATGCACATTTAAGTTATTTCTGAATCTTGGCTATTATGAATAAGGCTATAATGAACATAGGAGTGCCTGTATTTCTTTGACATACTAATTTCAATTGCTTCAGTAGTGAGATGGCTAGTTCTTGCCTGATTTTTGATATATAATATCCTTCTACACATTGGCAGATGATATTTTATTAAAGTAGAAAAACATTGTTATTCCTGAGGAACAAACTACCTTATGAATCCTGCTCTTAACACTGACACCTTGAGTTTAGTTAACAAATTGTTTCTTTATTGTTTCCTTCCAAAATTTAGAATTTTACCTGCCACAGGAATTTACTTCTAAGAAATCACATTATTTAGTGGCTCATTACGTAGGCCTAACTAATCAGTTGTATTCAATTTTAATTTCTGTTTTAGAAATGGAAAAAGGGGTATTTAAAAATGTGGTACTATAGAATTCATTTGGATTTTTTGTTGTTGGTATTTTCAGTAAAGAATGGGTTATAGTTAAAAATCATTTGTAAACTAAATTACATATCTCCAAGAATTAAGATTCTCTCAACATGTTGGGAGGGGCCGTGAGTATATATGTGCCATATACATACTTATTTCAAGCAGCATATTTCCTTATATGGTTTCACTATAGGACTTCACACACACACACTTACTCACTCACCAAAAACAAAACAGCACTTTTCTAAAATTATGTTTGCAGCTATTGAACTAAGTCTTAGTATGTATTTATTTGGTAAATTTAAAGTTACTTAGAAGTTTTGTTATATCGCCACCTTTGGTGAATAATTTCAGGAAGAGATCCATGATTTTTTTTTTAAAGATCTTTTTTGGTATGGACACAGTATCTTTATTTATTTTCATGTGGTGCTGAGGATCGAACCCAGTGCCTCACATGTGCAAGGCAAGTGCTCTGCCACTGAGCTACAACCCCAGCCCGAGATCCATGATTTTGAATATGAAAATCCATCATCGCATTACTTATAACTAACTTTGGAATTTTGAAGATGATTTGTTAATGATTTGTTCAGTTATATATTTATAAGCTTTTATGGAAGTATTATTTTTATAATTGATCCTTCCAAGCTCAGATTAAGGTTAAGCTTGAAATAATACACATAGAAATTACTTTTCTTCCTCAAAGCTAGTGTTTAATGAAGTTGTCAGAGTACACCCTTTGCAACAGTTTGAAAGATGGTAATAGTCCATTCCTAGCACAGACCAAGTTTCAAAGGAGTTGTATGTCTCTGAAAATATCAGAGTTCTAAAATATTATACAAAAGGATCCTCTACTTCTGAATTTTGACTTGTGTTATTCACTCTCATTCATTGGGGAGGGCAAAGTAGAAGAGATTTAGAGATCACAATAATAATGAGGTGGCTGTTCCACCTCTGATGTTGAAATAAAACATTCAACAATTGGGAATATCAGTAAACATGGAACAAAGAGAAGTGGTTAGGCTTGAGGCAAGATAAAAAAAATAGGTAATTTGTGGATAGAACTATACTTCAGAAAATTGATATAATCAACTAAGACTAGATGAACTTTGCTTGCCTTTTGGACACTCAATTTTATGTTCAAGTGGAAAGGATGATTCTAACAGATTCTTTAAAGGAAAAGGGAGAGCTGTCATCTGGAAAAGATGTTCACTTGCAACAAGCTTCACACTTTTAAGACTCAGCAGTAATTAAAAACTTGATTCAGGGCTCGCCTCTAGGCAAATATATTTTGAAATTTTAAATTGACTTTTAAAAGGACAGTTTTGATACGAATTTTATGTTGGTACTACCTCTTAAAACATTCCTTTTACTCGGGGGTCAGCAAAAATTTTTTGTGCAAGGGTCATGTGGTAAAACCTTAGGCTTTCAGGCCATCAGTCTCTCCCAACTGCTTCATGTTTTAATGGGAAAGAAATCATGGATAATGAATGAGCCTGGCTATGACCCAATAAATCTTTATTTTCAAAAATTGCAAGTAAGTCAGATTTGGTCATAGGCTGTCGTTTGATAGCACCTGCACTACATGGAAAAGTGAGAAGCTACCTGGTTTATGTTAGTCCATTTTTTATACCCTACAGTTTCTTTGTACAAATAATTGACATTATTTTATTTAGTTACTTCACGGAAGCCACGGGAAGATGAAAAAGATGGCCAAGCATATAAATTTGTGTCACGATCAGAGATGGAAGCAGATATTAAAGCTGGAAAGTATTTGGAGCATGGGGAATATGAAGGAAACCTCTATGGAACCAAGATCGACTCTATTCTTGAAGTTGTCCAGACCGGACGAACTTGCATTTTGGATGTCAACCCACAAGTGAGCAGCATGGTTTCCAAAGCTGTGTTTAAAGTTTTTATTTCCTGGGGAGCTTTTGTTTTATGTGTCTAGGGAGGCTGGTATTGTTTGTTTTGTCAGAGGTGGAAGGTGGGTTGCTCTTTCACTCTGTTATATTTTGTTGGTAGAGAATCTTATTGTGTATCCATCACTAGTTAAATAAATTTCTGATGAGTTAGCTAGCAAAGGGTCAAATAAGGATAGAAACCATGTGATTAAATCTGCAGAAGTTAGGTTTTGTTTATTTTCTCAAAATACACAAATGCATGTGTTAGGAAATATTAAATTTTAAACTCAAGGCTGCAATACAAAGAATAAAAAACTGAAGTCCCTTCCCCTCCTTTCTCTGTTATGTCTGTGTCTCTCTCCACCGCGCCCCAAGTAGTGGGCAGCGTGCGCGCTCTTTCTCTCTCGCTCTCTCGCTCTCTCGTGCTCGCTCTCGCTCTCACACACAGGACATTCACTTCATTCTTGTTGCGTGTCTCTCTCTCACCCCTTCCACCTTTTCATATACAGCCCAACCTCATTTCCCTTCTCAACGATAAATATTAATAGTTTGATATGTATATTTCTAGCCATTTTAGTAAGCCTTAAATACAAACGTCTATAATGTAATGGGTTTTTCTATTTTATTGTCATTGCCTTTTTCATAAATGGAAGAATTTTATACAGATTATTTAGCTTTTTTATAAAGCAGTGGTTGAAGACCATGTCAGGTTCTGTGAATAATTTTTCTTCTTTGTGGTTGCTGCATAGTATATCACAATATGGATGTACATGTATTTATTTATCACTCTTAAGTAGTCAGCACTGAGGTTATTTCTATTTTTTCAATATTGACAGAATTGTACAATTATACAGAAAGAGTTTACATGACTCATGATTTTTGGATCACTAAATCTTACACTTTTCCTTTGTTTGAAGGAACAAAGAGGACTGAAACTGAGTTTACTACAAAATTAATGAATCACTATTTTAGGAAGGTACTATATGAAATCAGCAGAACAGTAGGAGAGGGAGTAAATTATGTCCGTAATCCTTAGGAAGAAGGCAGATAGACTTTGAGTTACACTAAAGGGTAGCATATTCAAGTTCTAATATAAATTGGTTTGTAATTATTTTACACAGGCACTGAAAGTGTTGAGGACGTCCGAATTCATGCCCTATGTGGTATTTATTGCGGCTCCAGAGCTAGAGACGCTACGTGCCATGCACAAAGCTGTTGTTGATGCAGGAATCACTACCAAGCTTTTGACGGTGAGCAGTTCTTTTCAGGCTTATATTTTTTATATTTTTCCCTAAATTATTTCCTTTTCCTTTTCTTTTCAGTATGTTTAATTCTTCCTAGTCATACTAAACAAATAAATATACTACATAAATTGTTACAGAATAAAATTCTGTTGTTAGGATTTGGAACAGTACTACTATTTCTTGAGAATACTTGTACCCTTTATTTTAAAACAAAAATGTAATTACCCATTATAAAATGTAAGAAAAGAAAATAACAGTATTATTGTTAGAATTAGGGGTTCTGTTGTTCAGTTTCTGTGTTTTCTCTTTTCTCCTCCTCCTCTTTTTCATATCATGAAAAGTTTAAGATACACATAAAAGAAGGAAAAAAGTGAGCCATCATGTGCCCAACACCTCCCTTCAATAATACATTCCATTCTTGTTGAGTTAAATATCTCCTCACCTCGCATTATTTTTGAAGCAAAACTATAATATATATAATCTATAGATACTTTAGTGTTTATCTTTGAAAGATAAGGTCTTTTTAAAACATGATAGTAACACTATTACACAAAAAATTAATAAGTAATATTATAATTATATCTTTTTAAAAATATTTTTAATTGTATATGGACACAATACCTTTATTTTATTTATTTATTTTTATGTGGTGCTGAGGATCAAACCCAGTGCCTCACACGTGCTAGGCAAGCACTCTACCGCTGAGCCACAGCCCCAACCAATAAGTATTATCTTAATATAATCAATATATAATCTATATTTGAATTTCTCCAAGTCTTAGAATTTTTTATAGCTTATTTGTTTAAATCAGAATCCAAATAAGGTTAACATATTGCATTTACTTAATGCCTCCTAAATCTCTCTCTCTTTTTTTAGTATCTTTATTTTTATTTCTTTTTATGTGGTGCTAAGGATCAAACCCAGTGCCTCACACATGCGAGGCAAATGCTCTACCACTGAGCGACAATCCCAGCCCATCTCTTTTAAAATTTTTTTCAACTTAGTTAATTCAGGTGTAATTGATATACAGTTATCTGTACATATCTAGAGTACCCAGTTTGATAAGTTTGAGCATATGTATGCACCCATGAAACCATTCCAACCAAAATAATGAACCTATCTATCATCTCCGTGCTTTTTCCTGTGTGTCTCTGCAACCACATCCAAACCATTTCCCACAGCATTCACCTCTTCCTGGTTTCTAGCAGACAATATATCTTGAAATCAGGTAGTATTAGTCTTCATAGTTCTTCTTTTTCAAGTTGTTCCATGTCTGTATTTAACTTTCTGAATATTTGAAACATAGTTATAAGTTAATGTTATTATCTTCTAATCCTATTATTTATGTAAATCCTGGGACAGTTCTGATTTTTTTCCCCATTATGGATAATATTTTCTACTTCTTGCAATCCTGGTTATTTTTTTTTTGGGGGGGGGGTTGTTTTATTTCGGTTTTTGTTTTTATGCCAGACATTGTGAGTTTTGTTTTGAGATGCAATTATTTGGAAATAGTTTGTTCCTTTTAGGTCTTGTGTTTATAATTTGTTAGTTAAGACCTGAACAGTTCTCATTCTCAGGCCCATTATTCCCCTCTATTGAGGCAAAACCCAAACCCATTTGGTGCTCTTCCAAATGGCCTGTGAATCATGAGTTTTTCTGTTCTGGTAGGAACAGTACTATTCCTGGCTCAATATAAATATCTATACTCCTTTCTGGTGTTTGACACATGCACCATTGGTGCTCAGCTGACTTCTTCAGGGATCAGCTGCAAATTTCTAGAGTTTGCCCCCATGCTGCTCTTATCTGGTTTTCTGTCCTGCAAAGTTTTCACCTTGGGCTCTCTGAACTCCCAGCTCTGTCCTCAACTTAGTCCTTGGGCTCCTTTTAGGCTTTCCCTCCCCTGCAAACTCTTTCAAGGTTGTAAATGGGGGTATTCACAGGGCTTGCTTCATTTGTTTCCTATCTCTGGAACCTCTTTCATTGCCTAATGTACAGTGTCTTTCAAACTATTGTTTGGCATATTTTTTTTCTGTGTTTTTGTTGTCAGGTGGTAGGGTTAGTCTGGTTCCTGTTATTCCACCTTGGCTGGAAGTAGACATCCCTTTTGGGTCTTTTAATCTGAAAATTCTCACTGCCTGCCTCTTTCCCCTCTAACATTGTAATTTAGTTGTTGTTGTTGTTGTTATTTTATAGGACATTTACCCTCTAGTGTTCCACAGTCTGGATTTTACCCATTCTTTCACTTTCGTTACATTTTCTTCTGTCCTTTCTCTTTCCTGTGAACTGATAGGTAGATCTAGAGGCCCGATCAGATGTAGATTTAGGTGGGTTTCATTGGGGTTTTTTGGTTTTGTTTTTTTACAAGAAAAATTCATTTGTTGTATCTTATGTTATTACATCATGGTGCTTATGTTAGGCTGTCTCCCCTTTTGTGATAAGATTAAGTAGTGATAGGGCTAGAGTTGTAGTTCAGTGGTTGAGGGCTTGCCTTGCATGTGTGAGGCACTGGGATCAATTCTCAGCACCACATAAAAATAAATAAAGATCCATTAAGCACTAAAAAAAAAAAAAAAAAATTAAGCACTGGGTTCAAAATGGTGACAAACTTTTTACCTAATGATTTTAGCAAGCTTTTGCTCTTTGCCTGGATCAGTTATTGTTTTGTTTTTAGGAATGACAAAGTGGTAATATTCTAAGTTTGTTATTCCTTCTGCATATATAAAACTAGAGTTCTTCTTTAAAAGACCTCAAAAATTTATAACACTGAGTGCCTATTTTTAAAAAATAGACTCCCAAATAAATATACTTATGCTCCACCTCAAAGCCTTAGAAAAGGAAAAACAAATTAATTCCAAAATCAGTAGAGGACAAGAAATAATTAAGATCAGAGCCAAAATTAATGAAATGGAGAATAAAAAAATAATACAAAGTATTAATGCAAAAAAGAGTTGGTTCTTTGAGAGGATAAACAAGATTGACAAAGCCGTAACTAAACTAACCAAAGAAAAAGAAGCTGGGCACTGTGGCGCACACTTATAATCCCAGCAGCTTGGGAGGCTGAGACAGGAGGATCACAAGTTCAGAGCCAGTCTCAGCAAACTCAGTGAGACCCTATCTCTAAATAAAATACAAAATAGGGATGGGGATGTGGCTCTGTGGTTGAGTGCCCCTGGGTTCAATCCCTAGTACCAAAAAAACCGAAAGAAAAGACCTAAATTAACAAAGTGAAAAAGGAGATGTCATCACAGATACTTCTGAGATCCAGAGGAAACTTTTGAAAATTTATACTCCAGTAAGCTGGAAAATGTAAAAGACATTGACACATTTCTAGATACATATGAAATTGAACCAGGAAGCTGTAAAATACCTCAACAGACCAATATCAAGTACTGAAATTGAAACAGCAGTTAAAAGCCTTCAAAGAAAAGCCCAGACCCAGATGGATTCTTAGCTGAGTTCTACAAGTGTTAAAGAATTAACACTTGTCTTTCTCAAATTATTGCATGAAATTGAAAGGCAGAGAACACTCCCAAATACATTCTAGGAAGCCAGTATAACTCTGATATCAATACCAAAGACACATAAAGGAAAGAAAACATCAGAACAATATCCCTGATGAACACAGATGCAAAAATCCTTATTAAAATACTAGAAAACCACATTCAGAAAACACATAAAGCAGATAATATACCATGATCAAGTTGGTTTCATTCAAGGGATACAAGTTTGGCTCAACATACACAAATCAGTAAATGTAATTCAGCACTTAAATAGAATTAAGAACAAGAATCATTATAGTGGATGTAGAAATGGCCTTTACTAAAACCCACCACCTATTTGTGTTAAAAACACTGGAGAAACTATAGGGACATAAGAATTTAACCTCAACATTATAAAGGCTAGATATGACAGATCCAAAGTTAACATCACATTGAATGGAGAAAAACTTAAAGAATTTTTTCTAAAATCAGGAACAAGACAAGATGTCCACAAGATCACCACTTCTATTCAGTATAGTTCTTGAAACTCTAGCCAGAGCAATCAGGCAAGAGAAGGAAATTAAGGAAAAGAAGTCATCAGACTATCTATCTCTCTTTGCTGAAGACATGATCCTATTTTTGGAAGACCCAAAAAACTCCACTAAAAACTTCTAGAACTGATAAACAAACTTTTTAAAGTAGCAGGATACAAGACCAAATTGCTTTCCTGTATTCCAATAATGAATCTACTAAGAAAGAAATCAGGAAAACTATGCCACTTACAATAACCTAAAAAAAGAAAAATACTTGGGAATTAATCTCACCAAGAAGGTGAATGTTCTCTACAATGAAAACTACAGAACACTGAAAAAATTAAAGAAGACCTTGGAAGATGGAAAGACCTCCCATATTCTTGAATAGGCAGAATTAATATTGTCAAAATGACCACACTATCAAAAACAATATACAGATTCAATACTTTCCTATCAAAATACCAATAACATTCTTCACAAAACTAGAGAAAAACAGTTCTTATATTCATTTGGAAGAATAAGAGACCCAAAATAGCCAACACAATCCTGAGAAAGAGGATAGATGGAGCAGGCGCCACAATACATGAACTCAAATTATACTACAGAGCTATAGTAACAAAAACAACATGGTATTGGCTTCAAAATAGACATGAAGACCAATGGAATAGAATAGAAAAGAAATCACATAGACAAACCCAGACACTTTTGTAGCCAGCTGATAGGGATCAGATACCATAATGATATAGGGAAGATCACTGGAGTTAATATAAGGAGATTGAGAGGGAAGGACAGGAAATGGGGAGAAATATGGAATGAATTTAACAAAATCATTGTATGCATATATAAATGCACAACAGGGAATTTTGCTTTTATGTATATGTAGAAAGAACAAAAGTAAGATCAATAGAAGGAGAACAGGAGGAGGAGGGAAGGGAAAAAGCAGGGGAAAGGGATTGAAATTAAATTTCATGCATGTATGATTTTTGTCAAAATA